TAGAATCAAAATTATTTTATCACAAGAAGTTCTTGCTTGTTTTTTATTTGTCAGCCAGTAAGACTGAGTGACGTATGAGAAAACTTTGTAACTCTCATCTGCTGACTCTCATGGCAGCAAAGAGTAAAGTAAAATGGAAAGAGAGAGTCAACAAGAAATTTATATTATACTAGCTGAAATACTCCTCTACACAGGGTAAGAGGGTAAAATTTAGATCACAGCTGGTTATAATGTCAAAAGACTTGGTCCCTCAAGGCTAATGAAATATTGGGGCCCTGAGGCTGGAGCCACCTCTCTTGAATGTTTTTTTTTTTTTTTTAATAGTGATAAAACTTAGTAACATTTATAAAGCTTGAAATAAAATTGTTATAAATTCTTTAAAGGAACTAGAAAAGCTATCTTTTGTTTATCTTATATTCTTTTATGAAATACCAATATTTTACTGTTTATTCCAAGCCAAACTAGAACACATTTCAGTAAAACCTTAATAAAAAAAACCCAAAAAAACCCAGATTTTTTATAGCCGGCATCATAACAATAAAATAATCAAAATAAATATCAGCCTGTCATATTGATATCATTTCAGTTTATGAAACTATTTACAAGTTATAACATCTGGAAAAATTAAAATCACTGCTTTATTAAAATTTCTAAGATTTAAACATTCTGATCTAAAATCAAACATGTTATCTACTTGAAACATAAAGACACAAACTACAACATTCTTTGCCTTGATTTACTTCCTGAAAAGTCAAATAAATATGTGTTTGTAATATTGCAATCGGAATGATTGCAAAACACTTCCCCCTCCCAAATTTGTAGGCAAAAATCACACAAATGCATGCTGGGATTTCTTCCTGGACATTAAGACAGACCACTTCTCAGTCTCATCTGACTCAGTTCTGATCTGTCTTATTTTGAAATCAGAATGCTATGTTTGTTTATCTGAATTCCCTTTTGTATATCAACACAAATTCTTAGTTTGTGAACTTTTTGCTATATTACTGTTGCTTTGCCTTATTACAATTAATTTGCCTTGCATATATTGTTTGTTTACTTTATATTATTTTTTTCCCTCTTCTTTTATCATTTTCTTTTCCTTGTTTATTTTAAACTTTGTAAATTCCATTTGTTGGGCAGCTCTTCCATTTAACCATGGCCACTTACTCTACAATATCATTTCAGTTTATGAAACTATTTAGAAGTTATAATATTGAGAAAATTAAAATTATTACTTTATATGTAAAAGCTTGATGGGTGCTAGGATGCAGTCTATACTATCCTAAAAGATAATTCAGCCCTGCCAATAAGACAATTCCTTCATACAGTCAGAATAAAATTATGTTAAACTGCTGGCTATATTTTAGGTAACTTTAAGAGTGCTATTCCTTGCCAGGCTGAGGAGGGTGACTAGAAACACAGCAGAATTAAAAACAAAACCTGTTAAATGATTGATGAGCCATTAATGGCCATCTAACACTACTAGGTAAACTGGGCTACATAGCTAAGTATGCAGCCATTGTGCGGGATGATACATTATTGCTGGGCAGCAGGCTTCTTAGATTGAAATCAACAATCAGTGTGGAGGGTTTGCCTGATAGAATGTGTCCATGACCATGGTGACCCTTCAAACTTGAAGATATCAGCTGTGATTTGACCCAGATAGGGATGGGCTCCACCAGGTCGACTTACACAAAATATGCTACCCATGAATGAATCTTTGGTAACAAAGAAAAGAATACTGACATCTGTCCTTCTTTATGGAAGTGAATGTTGGATGATTTCCTCACAGATTAAGAAGAGACATGAAGCAACAGAGATGTGAATCTACAGAAGGATGCTAAGGATATCATGGACCAAGCATATGACCAACAATTAAAACTTAGAGAGGTTGCAAACAAAGAGGAGGCTTATACTTAATATCAGGAAGAAGCAGCTGAAGGTTCTTGGATGCATAATGAGGAAGGAGAGCCTGGAGAATGTGATACTCACAGGTCGAATAGAGGGAAAGAGAGACAAGGGAAAACACATGACATACCTGGTGGACTTAAGCAAGTAGATGATAGAGCATGGTGTGGGGGAGGAAGCAGTGGGAAGGAACTTGTTCAGAGCTGCAAGGGACAGAGGGAGGTGGAGAGCCTTGATTGTCTACATCCTGAAAGGACATAGCATATAAAAAGAAAGAAGAATGGTGGCTATAGATAGTCCTGAAAAGTAAGTTTCTCCAAAGGAGTGAATGCTTACATGTCTATGACTAAGATGAGCATTCAAGTTATATAATTTTAGTTGTAGTTTGAGAAGGATGGGCTCCCCAAGGCCTATTTACCCAAGACATACTACAAATAAATGAACACTTTTTTGGCTTTCAATTCAGATATGTGGAAGGAACTGATCAGATAACCAGCAGCATGGTGACCCAATTGTTGTGTGTGTGCATGTGTGTGTGTGTGTCTGTGTGTGTATATATATATATATATATATATATACATACATACATGCATATATATATATATATATAAGTGCGCAGATATGCAGAAAATAGAAAAGAACACGTTGGGTGCATAATCTGGAGTTCCTTAGTATTTTTGTTTTTATTTTTAAGAAGACAGTGCTCCATACATAAGTAGAGCTTTATTATAATAATATTTTTTTGTTTAAAAATATGATTCCTTTGCTACATAAGAGTTCTCATGTTTCAAAAATGAGAGCCGAAATCATTCAAATAATTATTAAAATTAAGTTGAATTATGGTATTTAGTCTAAACACCTCAATTCAACTTAATTTTGATAATTATTTGGATGATTTCAGCTTTCGTTTTTGAAACATGAGAACTCTTATGTAGCGAAGGAATCATATTTTTAAACAAAAAATATTCTTATATAAATATATATATATATATATATATATATATATATATTGTATACATGCATAAAGTTTAGAGTCAGCTCCCTTTAACTCCATAAACAACATTTATAGAATTAACTCCCTTGGGATAAAGGGCCTGACCAAGAACATTTCTGGACAAGGGGACAAGAAATAAAAATGTAGCTAGCAGCACATATGAGTATTTTTTATCTCTTCTACCATGTATATCTTAAAGTCTTTATCTCACAGGTTAAACGTCCCACCAAGTTTCCAGTAAGCCTTTTCTCCTTCATGTCTGTCAAACACTTAACACCAATGACCACACCTAGTCATGGGACAGATAACTATAATGTTGGTGATGCTGGTCATAAATAGTCCTGAAAAGTAGTCAACATAATTTGTAAGATCAAAATGAACGAAATATAGTTTGTAACTAAGAAATGTTTATTTTACAATGTCTTTGTTATTGCCATTATCTATTTTCAGATGTTGGTCATATTTTTGTTTAACAGTGACTGAAGATATATGCAGTAATGAGTAGTCTCAAAGAAAAATAAAATAAATTACAACTGTTCCTAAAAAATACTATATAAAGTAGAAAAATATATACTTTGGAGGAAAATTATTCTTGAGGAAATGTTTTTTCAAAGAATGCAAATATTATCCAGATAATAAAATAGAAATTATAATCTTAAAACGTTTCCAAATAACAAAAAGATAAAAAAACACCCACTTTTCCCTTCATGAATAAAAACTTTTTTTATGTTAAAACTTTCTCTTTGGTCCCATAAGTAAACATAACAAATTTGAAGGTTTTTAGACAAACAGATTTGGCTGCATCAAGTATAGCAGACAAACAATCTCTTCCCAATTATACATATAAAAGCTGTATTTCTTGCTATGGAAGACATATTTTTTGTGAAAATGAAAAGTTGAAAATTTACCCTGAGTCTTTGAGGCCAGATATTAATTTGCTTTTTGGCCTTCACTTAATTATAGAGAGAAAAAAAAAAAGAAAGCACTCTCATACGTTTTTTTTTTTTAGGAATTCTGATGAATAAATTACGGTGATGTCTCACAAGTCTGTATGTCTTTGATGCCAGAAAATATACCATGTGTGCATGTTTTTGTTTATGTGTATAAGTATTTATATATGTATGTGTGCATGCAGATATGTTTTTATATATACATATGCATATATATTTACCCATACCAATAAGTATAATTTTATCGCTGCTGGACCATACCTGTCTCCATTATGCACAAATTCTTATGTGTGTGAGTGAGATGGCAAAATAATCATAATGATAAAATACATAATCTGTGTGATTAATTAATTAATCTCTCACTGATTTAAGTGCACTAGTGAATGTTAGAAGCTCAGATTGAGGAATTAGCGAGCCGAGTTCAAATTCCAGTTGAAACCATTACATTCACTTACATGTTAATACCCTTGGGAAAGGTATGAATCTTCTTCTCCCCCAACTTATAGGTAAATAGCAGGACAGTCTGGGTTCTATAGCTTTGGATGGCAATTGGTCTACCGCAAAAAGAAATGGCAACCTACTGTGGGGAAAAAATCTGCCTCGTCAGTCATGTATCAAATGATACATGATCGGCTTAGGATGTATCATGCATGGCACATAACTGATATGAATAAATTATTTTAATGAGGCCTTCAAAAAATAATAGATTAAAAATTAGTATTTTGTTAAGTCCTTACTGCTATGAGAAGTTTTTTTTTTATATGTGAGGTATATATGAGGAATATATTTTATTCTAATTATTAATTTTAATCTGCATCCTTAATACATGCTCATTCTTTTCACCTTCTGACTTCATAATTATCTTGTGAAAGATTACTTTTGGCCTAATGTAGACACTGTCATGATGCAGTGCCAGAAAAATGGAGATAACTGTAGTATATGTTGCTTTTTTTTTTATTTAGCACTATATCAACCTATATACCAAAATCTAAACATTTTGTATGCAATTTTTCTTGATATAATAATAGTGTTAGTCTTACTAATTAACCCATATGTTTCCCAAAGGTATTTGCATGTAAGTGAATATAACAAACCTAACTGATTAGCACTTCCAAGCCATTATCCATTACGCCACTGACACATCCAAGCTTACAGCACCTGGTATTTCCAAGCAGTTACCTATCTTGGTACTGACCAGGCTCAACATTGCTTAACATTGGTGATCATATGAGAACTGATGTTTCATTATGATGGGATCATAAGCCAAATGTAGTACAGTATAAAATTAGAGATTACTGAGTAAACTGAACACACAATGCATAGTATATATATTACATACACACACACTATTGTTCACCCAATAGAAAACCCAAGAGCAACTCAAGGTAGAGAGTTAAAGAATTAGGTTGTTGTAGTAAACAAAGAAAAAAGTGACGAGTGGGGGGTCAGAAAGTGCAGTGCACCGTTCGCCGGCAGACCAGCTGTTCTTCCTTCATTGTTGGTCACCTCAGGGTAATGGATTACGAGACTCCCTTTCTCAGCCATTACACCGGGGTTGTGAAACAGACACCAACTCAGCCACGCCTACTTCGACTTCCTCTTTGTCTGTCTGTCAATTCATACATCCAACTCTATTGCACGAAGTTTGCCGAATGACTCCTGACTAGAGTCGTGCTGCTGGCATCTCGGTTTTTATGCCAGTCTAATACAGCCGAAATTTGCATGTGTGCGAATATCGTCTCGTTTTGGATGAGATCAGCGTGCATAAATTGTGTCTTTGATAGAGGCCATATTTCTTTACCTCATTACTTTGCAGGTAAGACACGTTCACACTCGTTTTGAACTTTGAGGTAAGTCGTGTCTTTCATCACAGTTGTTATAAGTGTACAAAGGGGAGAATAAGAAGTGCATATTAGGAGGATATGTTGGTTATATAATGGCTGACCCTACACTTGATGAGGTTAAGATAGTAGGGATTAGGTAAACACCCTTTCTAGAGTCTGTTCTACAAAGTAACATTTCTGCCACTTTGAATTCAAAGTTTTCTTTCTTCTAGACTGGCTGCCAAATGTGACTGGAAAGCACAGTATGCCCTAGTATTTAACATATAGTGAAATGTACAAGATATGGATTCATACTTTTCCTAGGGGTATTTGTTGCAAGTGAACATAATAAATTTCAACTCATTCCAAGACATTATCTGTTAAACCATCTGCATATCCAATATATACATACCAAAATATATTTATATATATGCAGTGTATATAAGGTACAATCATTATATACATTGCATTTGCAAATAAAAATAATCAATTATTTATCCTGAAAACTAGTATTTACCATATCTTCCATAGTAAAAACCTTGGGCATGTCATCAGCATATTCTAAAAATATTAATAACAAAAGCATTTTGCGCATGCCAGTTTTATTTCCTAGACTGTTGAGTGGACAAATGTATATAGATAATAGTTCAGGTAATATACTTCCTCTTATATGGCAGTGAATGCTGGACAATTTCCTCAAAAATGAAGAGGAGACTTGGAGTGACAGAGACGTAGTTTGTCAGAAGGATGCTGAGAAAACCATAGACAGAACATGTGAGCAAAAATAAAGTTTTAAAGAAAATGGGAAGGAAAGGACATTTATACTTACAATCAGTAAAAGACTTTTGAAATTTCTCAAACACTTAATGAGGAAAGAAGTATTGGAGAATTAAACACTCGCAGGACATAATGAGGAAAAGTGGAGAAAAAGTGAGTCACCTATATAATGTGTTTATGTAAAAGGATGGCAAGTAGAAATGCTGTTTAAGGCTACAGAGAACAGGAAAATGTGGAGAGCCATGATCACTTATGTTCCGAAGTGACACAACATATAAAAGAAAAAGATAAATAAAGAATCCAAGAAAGGAATATATTTGAAGTAAATATTATAAAGTTTGAAAACTTGTTTTTTTGGTTTTTGTTTTTGGTAAGTTATTCTTTGACCAATGTGAAGAACTATAAAAATTTGAAAATGAATTTCATAAATCTTAGCCAATAAATGTGTTTAATCCATTTAATCCTCAGTGTACTAGATTAACAGTGTAATGGTCCAGCATCTAATCACCATGGTAATAGTAATGATAAAATAAACTGTTTCCATACAGAAAGCTTATGGCCATATCATATTGAAACACTCGTACTAATCAGATCACTAAAGTTAAACAATGTTGAATCTAGTCAAAAACCAGACTGCTTGGAAATACCAAGTGCTGTAAGCATGGATGCACAGATGGTGTAATGGATTGGAATTGGAAATTGGGGTGCCAAGTTCCAATTCCAGTCTGTTTGGTTACATTCAATTACACACAAATACCTTAGGAAAGATATGAATCCACCTTATCTTTCCCCAACTATGGGTTAAATACTAGTCTCTGAAAATCATTATTAACTTCAAAAAATATATTATTCACTCACCCACCCACACAAAAAAATATTATTACAGTCCAAAAATGTGTTTTGATTTTAAATAGCATAAACAATCATCATCATCATCATCATTATTATTATTATTTCTTCTACTTCAGGACATTAGTAATCATGGCTATCTACAATTTCCTGTCCTTTATGGCTTTTAACATCTTTTTGGCCTCTCTTTTCACACCCTACTCCACTATCTATACACTCAGACACACCAGGCAGCTCATGCATTGCTTTCCTCTTTTACCTTCAACCTTTCATCTATCAGATTTTCCAAGCCATCTTTTCTCATTAAGTGCCCTAGAAATTTAAATCTTCTAATTAAATATTTTTTAGGCTTCTCAAGTTTGATAAATGTTTATCTTTATAATATTGATTGGAGATTCCTTCTAAACCTTTTGCTTTCACTACTGTTTAAAGTTAACAGCTTAAGTATGTGATCATTCTTGTGGTTGCTGCTCTTTAGGTCATGTGGTTTTTGTTATTTGGTACAGTTCTTCATTTGCAAATTTGTAGCATCAGTCTTTAGGGTGTGATGAATGATCATAGCAAACCAATGAGATCATGTATATTAGAGTATTTCAAATAGCTTGAAAGATTGTATTCAATGTCATACTTTTATTTCCTATTAGGAAAAGAATAATTCTAATGGCTGCATCCTTTATATACATCTTTCCACAAATTATTCCAAACATTTTTATATCTGTTTAAACTGTCAATTGAAGATAAAAGAGGGAGAGGAAAGCAATGCATGACCTACGTGGTGAGCTTGAGTAAATGGATGGTGGAGCAGGGTGCTCATTGGGTTTTGTTAGATAATGGATACTGTTGCCATTATTTGTAAAATGAAGATCCACCTGTTGTCAGAACTGGTATAGAAAAAGAATTACATAACAAAAAATGCTTTTCAATAAATAATAAGAAACAAGAAAATTTGTTAGAAACAAAGAAAAGACTGCTAAACTGCTATATAATATCAGTCCTCCTCTATGTCAGTGAATGTTGGACAACTTGAAGAAGAGTTGTAGTTCTACTGTATGATGAGAATACCATGGATAGAGAAAAGGAAACAAAAAGAACACTTAAAACCTTATACGCTTATAGAATCATAACAAGGGTGTTGAAATTTCTCGGATACATAATGAATAAAGGAGACATTTAGAATTTGACACAGAGAGGACATGTTGAAGGCAAGAGGGATAGAAGAAAAAAGTATGTAAGCTACCTAATCATCTTGTGTAAATAGATGGCAGAACAGGGACTGTGTGGGATGTTGAATAAACAAACCTTATCAAGAGTTATAAAGGATAGGAAATTGCGGAGAGCAATGATTCCCCACATACTGAAGATGAAAATGGAATAAAGCTGTTCATATAAGCATCTTTTCTTGAAGACATCACTATTCTTCGATGCTGATTTTTTTCCTGCTATATAAGCATTTCTGAAATAGGATAGTTTAGATGAAATAATGAGGCAATAGTGTACCAGCAAATGTAAGGGTTCAATAGGTTAGATTTTGTTTATCATCAAATCTTCACTTTTCAAGTAGAAAAGTTATTAAATCTACCGATGATATTGCAAGCAAAAATATATTGATTAAAAATTCACACAAAATGCATACAGAATAAACAATATTAAAATCAATATTAAAGAAAAGCTGCATCAATAAAACCTTCAGTCAAACGAAAATAATATCACAATAAGCTGACAGTTAACTGTTTAAAAAAAAGTATTTTACAAATATATATATATATATATATTTATATATTATTATAATTTATAAAATAGAGTACATAAGTTGGTCAATAAAATAAAGTCAAACGAAAGGGTACTGATGTAATCAGCAGGAAAAACATTTATTAATATTAACCAGGTGACAAAAATGAAGCACAGAGATTGAGGTTCCAATTTAGGAATTTTTTGAACATGCCTGTGTTCTCCATCAGTGGATGTGAGAAATAAACAGAGGGACAGTGGAGACTATCCAACGTTAGTTCTTGAGGCTGGGTAGAGTCCACTTGTAGGTGGAATTGTTAGAAAAAATCCATTCCCTGTTTGATTTCTCACTGTGCAAAACATTAAGTGAAAATAAGCTTAGATTTAAAAATTGTGATTCATGGTGGGTGGAAGGGGAGTGAGATCTTAAACAGAGAAAAAAGGGTTACAGGACCAGGTGTGGGGGTGGTATTAATGTTTAAAGATTTTGTGCATTAGGATACAGTGTGGGAACATAGCGAGATTGTCAATAAAAATAAAATGAAAAAGAAAAAGAAAAAAATAAGAGAGGAAAGAAATAGCACAAAAAATCATATATATATATATATATATATATATATATATATAAGTGAACATTGAAATCAGCACTAAGAGTCTCTGAGTGTTGACTTCAATGTTCACTTTTATATTACATATATTCTATCTCTGATATTGAGCAATTTATCCTATAAATATAGCACACATTTAAACTACATATATATATATATATATATATATATATATATATATATATAATGATATATAATTTGGATAATTTTATATATCAACAAACAGTATTGTCATATATATATATATATATATATATCATTGAAAAAATACAACAAGTAAGGTTTATTAATGTTTTATTGAATTTTTCTAGTATTCTAACATTTTCCATTTTTCCAGGTTAAAGAATACAGAAATAGTCCATAGTTATTATTGTTCCAAGTGCTTTAGGTTAGCCATTGTTAGCCATGTCCTTTGGGATGGTGAATTTCCATATGTTAACTTTTACATAGTAGTTTAACTG